CCCCAAAACCCCAAAACCCCAAAACCCCAGAAGAGAGTTCCTTAAACACAAAGTCTCTAAATTTCAGTAAGTTGGAGCTTTTCCTAAAATTAGAGAATTGGGAAATAAAAATTACTCTAGCTAGCTAGAAACAAAAACTATTTTAACCCTAACAGGATCATTAGTATTTCTTTACTAAATTATGGCTCATTCTTCTTAAAATAAAATACTAAAAGAACAACAAGGCTGTCAGTTTCCCCAAAATATAGACAAATATTCTTCTCCAAAACCTACCATTTGTTTTTCTGGATATTGTTCTTGAAAGTTTCGTCTTCAGTTAAAAATAGTGTATAACTCTATTATTCATGTCTTCGAACCCAGCTAGGGACTGGGTAATCTGAAATTCATATGACTTGAATCAAGAGATAGGATGTCTTTGAAAGCCAGAAGAAACACTTCTTCTATGGTAGCTATGCCTCGACTTTACTATTCTAAAGCTCATATTTTTAGACCAGAAGTTGGCTAAAGAGTTTGCGATGTCCTTTCATTTTAAGTCTAGGAGAACCAAAGAACTTCAATCTAGCTCTCTTCAACAGTAGTGTTTGCTTTCATTAGAAGTAAATAGATCTAATAAAAAGCTACTCTTTTGTTATTTAATGCTATTATCAAACTAATGAATTGAGTAAAACACAAATTTCTTCCAAACTAGAGTTTAAGTCTGCTAATAATCCCCTTTATAGCTTAATTAAAGTAGGACTTGCTCCCCAATAATCTGATATTTATTAAGACCTTCTTCTTGCACCATAATTAGTAAAAACCTATTTTAGTAAAAATTTAAGTACAGAAATCATTTCAAAATAGAATCAACCACAAACGTAAATTCTTCAGCTTTATAGATAACTCATCAAGCTTCTCAAAGTCTGGTTTCCTCATAAAATCTTGTGCTATCGAGTCAAGATAAATTTTTAATAATTTACGATACAGATTAGAAATATCTTTCAAGATTAAAATTTCAGGGATGTCTCCTCAATTTGAGGAGATTCGATCAAAGAGTCATTTATTTATATGTGGAGGTAATGGTATTCTATAGATAATTATTGCATTAATATAGAGACTTAGAACTTATTGAGAAGTGGTTTACACTGGAAACTCAGGAATACTCTCTAAACTCAACTATTTCAGACAATTCCACCAATACTTGCTGAAACTTGGCAAGGGCTCAGCTTATTATAACAGACACTTCTTAGTGATTTGAGTTGTACTTATTAGACTTATTGGGCAAAGATTTAACATATTTCACCTCCTGGAAAGACACCTAGTTTTGAGATTTCCATATTGACCACGATATTAGAGTATAGCTATATCAATTATAGATCCAAGAAATAGCGTCTGACAATCATGAAGGAAATAGAAACTTATAATTAAACCTCTTGATAATTTTAATAAGTTCAAAAGGATTCATCAACTTTTAATATTTGATAATTGGTTTAGGTCTTTTGAACTCTACATTCTTTAGAAATTTTTAATAAAATTAAGAATAGAAATAGGTATTTAGGCTGCACACTTTTAGGTTTAAGGTCTAAAATTTCAGAAGAATATTATTATGAGCTTACTGATAAGAAAATTGTATATCGTATTGTCATTTTGTCTGTTTAGAGCAAGAGTGTTTACTAAATTTTTTAAACAAGGATGGTATTCTTGATGAAAAATTCAAATCACGCTGAACCAGTCCTGTTTTGGCTATATCTTTCTAACCCAACCCTCAAAAAATGTAACCTAACAGTAAACAATTCATCCAACTGGTTGATCAATTAGTGAGGGTCATGTGTTTGTTCAGATTCGCTTTCTGTGAGAATTTTTGCTGCAAAGAGGTCAGCTATAGGGCTTAATATCAGCATGAACTCTGCAATGGTCCAAGAGATTCCAGCTCAGCTCAAACTCTTCACCTCAGGCTCCTTTGTGCTGGCAAACATACACGAACATTTATCTGCAGGTTATAGGAGACCGTTTCTCCTTCATTTTATATTCATAACTAGTCAGCTTGTATATGTATTCGAGGTTGTTCATAGTCATCACTTTATTCAAGAGGCTGGCATTGTTCTCGGTCATATTACAGGTTCAAAACTTTTGAAGAGGAGAAGATTTGTATTGGGTTAGCAACCTTTGGATAGTATCCCAACTAGTCTTATAATGATCAGTTTGCTGTTCATTGGTAAAAGCATTTGTCTTTATGGTTACTTGTGGAATAGGGACTTTTCAAGGCTTGTCTGTAGCTAATATATGTTTGGAATGTCTTTTAGAATTAATATGATGAAAATCTTGCTCATTTGGATCATCGCTAGGAAGAATCATTGAAAAATTTAAATTATCAGAAAATTTATCTGAATTTGAAGATTCAAAAATGTATCTGGCAGACATCTCATAACCAGTAATAGGAGCTTTATCCTGATTCACATAAATAATTTCACTGGAAGCAATTCCTGGTATGTCTTTCTTCCAGATACCTTAGCCTTGTAACACTAGTCCTTGAGATATGTGGTTAAGTGTTGGAAGAGGCATATCCTCAATTTTATGATGACTAATCAAGAACATCCCTGCATCAAACTCTTTACAATTTTGATATGGCTCTGAATAAATTCAAAATCTATTAGTTGACATTCCATGAATATATTAAATTATAATTATATTTCCCAAATATCTTCCCTTTTCAATCAATACACACACATAACATTGGGGTTTTGGGGTTTTGGGGTTTTGGGG